TGGACTGAGTGTTTAAAAAGAAATGGCTCATTCATATTACATCTTGCTCACACCTGGGTTGAAGAGCCGTGCTTTTTTTTCCTTATGACATTCATTTACATAGAACTAAGAAAGTAAAAAAAAACTAATATTTAAGGGGTGAGAGCTTGTTGGTAAGGCTTCGTCAGTGTGATACAACGCGAAAAAAAAAAAAAACAGGACACAAGAAGCGAACGGGACCAAGCACTGATCGCTCGGTACCGTCTGTTTCTTTCTGTGTCCTCGTTTTTCTTTTTTCCTCGCGCTGTTTCGCACTGATAGAGTTTACTATATCTATCTTTATATATGCTAAATGGCAACAAAGTGAAGAAAATCTTACCCTTTGCAGCCTATGACATCAGATGATAGAAGTTCGCACACATCAGTAGCGTCGAGCTGCAGAAACTCGTCCGATTGTGCAACAAGTGCAAAATTTGATACAAGATGGTAGAAAGCAGAGTTCTTTTCATGTACGTTATTCATGCGCTTCGCTGTCTTGTACAAAATAATTTGTCTTCCAATTGCGCTGGAGTGTGCTTCCATCTGTGAAGAAATGCATGACAGCTCGTGAAACACAATAAATATGCACGTCGAGTGGTTGAAGCTAAATTTAAATTTATACGCACGAAGGGAAGAAACACCGGGTCAGCATGGGATTGAGTTTCTTTCCTTCATGCGTATACGATTAATTTAGCTGCCATCATTCGACATACAAGACCACCAGCTAACCCAGATGGCGTTTTCTCTACCATCGCTTATGGGGTTGTTTGTGTTATGGTGAAGCCATAATAAATACGGTTTGTCTTGCATGCGCAGTGGGGATGAAATGAAACGCGAACGTGCGGTATCTACATTCTCTTGTTTCGCATTCGTTTTCAAGTGGTTGTAGCCTTGACAGTAATGAAATAACACGATACGACCAAGAACCACATCTTTTGTAAACACTAAAGTCACAGCGCGTGATGAAAACAGGGAACCGCGCTGTTCGCGTTTCTTTTCATCCCCCCTCTACATAAAGTCGGCTTTAAGCGTTTCTGCAACAGTCTCACACACACGGATATTCAAGCGGATGATGGCACACACAAACAGATTTCATATCCCGATGACGAAAACAATGATACACGTAACATGAGATTAGTCTGATGAGCATTGCTTTGTCATCCAAATCCTGCAGTTCCTTTTCGAGGACAGAGCTCGAAAAAGACAGGCTACCAAACATAGGCCTGCGCAAGGAGGGGGGCAGGAGGGCGTCCCCCTTTCCTATAGTGACCGAAAAATAAGGAGGGGGGCGCAAATACTGCTCCCTACAAAGATCACAGCTGGTCTGGAAGCACGCGCTCACCTCCAGACTGACCTTGCAATTACTCATTAGGGGGGGGGCACTAGTTCAGCCCCCCACCCCAAAGGGAAACCCTGCATGCGCACGCCTATACAACCAATGTTTTTTTTTAATTCAAACCTGGGACCATCAGAGGTGTTTACCTCTACCATTTGAGCTAAATGCGTTAGTTCCGGGTTCAGTTCCTGGAGCACGGCAAACTTTTTTTGTCAGCTAAGCTTCGTGTAACGAAGGCGGGAAAGGCAGTTTTCTCTTCATACACATGTTTTCTTAAAAATGCCGCACCAGCCACAACTCCGACAACTTTTTGAGCTGAGACTTTCTCACAGATAGAAGTCGCGTTTTCCCTAGAGTTAGTATTAGCTTTATGGTATATTCCGCTGCTTTCCGTGAAGAAAATTTTCGCATTTTCGCACACATAAAGGCTTAACACAAGAGTTACGGGAGTGCTTACCTCAATGCACCGATGAATGATGTCTGGCATTTGAAGCTTACAGGCAGCATGAAAATATCTGCTACATTGTTGCAAGATAATTCCAGCTTTCCAGATTTCATATACTCCAGGAGATCTTAAACGTCTGGCCCCTCACTCCAGAGATGACTACCTGCATGAATGAACATACAAGCTTAATTACTGCCTACTTTCAGGATGATCATAGCAAAATAAACTAAATAATGAAAGAAAAATGTTGCTTTCTAAATAAACTAAATAATGAAGCAAAAATGGCAACAATAGTCCAAGAAGAAAACACACACACACACACACACACACACACACACCACACACACACACACACACACACACACACACACACACACACACACACACACACACACACACCACACACGCACGCACGCACGCACGCGCGCACGCGCACACACGCACACACGCACACACGCACACACACACACACACACACACACACACACACACACACAATTACTTGCCCGTTTCTTTTTGCCTTCTGCGTCCTTGAAAGTACCTTGAAAGAAGGGGCTAGACTGCATTAAAACAGTCCTACTGAAAGAAACCACTTCATCTTCAAGTATCATTTCAACCAGGTCTCCATCTGCTGAGATGAGCTTGTGGCCATCGTTGTCATGGTCTGCGAAAAGAAGCTGTTACAAACGAAAACACACACGAAGCTGTATAGACCGAATATTTTGACTGTAATTTTGTGTTGTACACTTGGGTGTTTGGCATCGCCTTTACAAAAGGACCATTCTAGATTTCAACAAGCACGCCAAAAACGTGAAATGCTTACTGTTGAAAAGCAAAATGCATGGTGAGGTGCTCAACATGGAAGTTTCCCGGTGACATGTTTGTGAAGAAACGTGGAAATTTATAGGCTCTGAGGCATAGCACCTCTGTTGGCTAAAATTTTCCTAACGAAATTAGACTGCATGTTACACGACAGTTAGATGACAACCATGTGGTCAAGACTTTTAGGTTTGTGGATAATTTTCTTTTTTTTTGTGCTTGTAAATTGTCATCTTACGTTAGTCAAGACTCTGTGGCCACGGATATTCTCAAGATTTTTATGCTCGCACTTTGTCCCCCCATTTTAATTGTGAATTAATACAGAGTGATTCCATTAGGTTCTGGACCTGTTTCGTGTCGAAATGCATGTGGGCTAGACGTACGCATCGCGCTCTATAAGGACATCCTGCCATACAGCTCGTGTCACTCAGAGCTGCTTTCACATGATGCAGGTGAGTGTAGTGCAACAAGCAAGTAGACTGAAGTCGGCTGGTCTTCCACACCATGTGAAGAAAGCGGTGGCCTGTGCAAGTTTCAGAAATAGCAGAAATGTCGTGCAGGACAGAAGCACCTACTGCCGCTGCTTCTTCCGGCGACAAGGAAAATTTTGTTGTCACGCCATATGTGCATCGCTCGATATCAAAACGTGGTGAATTAACATAGCATACGCTTAGTTCTCTCGGTCCTGCGAAACTTAAGTGGTTTTTGCAACCCCGTGGTGCAGCCGCATCAACCGGCATACGCTCATTATGTTCTAAATTTGTGCCTCGCGGCGCTACACGTGTGATACCTTTATCCTGTGGCAAAGCACACATTGGCCTAACTGGTGGTTGTCTTAATGGTCAGCTCATGGTATAGGCGGAGAGTTTTCATTTTCCTGGAGGGGGTGGGAACCCGACAGGCTCTTTCATATTTCTATCCCCTCTTCTCTCTTTGTCTCTCTACGCTACAATTTTATTCCATTCCTCTTCTTCCTTATCGGCTCCTACTAACCAACGCTTGCAATAACAAAACTTTGAACAACAGTTTTAATACTGCAGCAATATTATGAAAAGTGTAAGCGCAGATGCACGATGACCTCACACAAATTTAAATGGTTCTTTCCTCTGTTCATGCTACGCATATGAAACCTGTTAATATTCATCATTGTCCAAAATGTACAAATGCCTCTCTAGTGGTTCTTTTAAATGAATTTGAGGGTTATTAAAAATGTGAATAGACAATTGAGCTTCAACCAAAACAGACATACTTCTGGAAAATTACACATACACGCCCACATCGTGCGTTTCTTGTGACTCAAAAGTATGTTTCGTAAACTCGACTGTTAACACCGAAGTCGAAACACTCTGTAGCCCTTCACTACGGCGTCTCTCAAAAGCATATTGAGGTTTTGGGACGTTAAACCCTAGTATAATAATATAATAATATATAATTCGCAAACTCGACCAACTAGCCCAAGAAACAGCTACTCGAACTGAGCAAGTAAAATAACGCATGCGGAGACAGAGAAATGCTTCGATCAAATGACGCGGTTTAGTCTCCATGTCGAAGTTCACATCAACTCGTTCATTATCGTTTCTCGAAGTACTTACTGCAAAGCTAAATGAATAGGAACATATATAGTGTAATGACGAACGCAAATTATATTTATAAGATATATCAAAAATGAAACTGTCAAGCATATGGAAGTTACGATACACCCTTCTGCTGAATATACGCCAACTTGGCTTTCACAAAGAATAAATTCTAAGCGAATGGTAGAAACGCGCAGCACAGTTACAATTCCAGCAAGACAAGCGTCGGCAGAAACAGCGAATAGCCCAAGCGGCACATATTTTGAGTTCCAACTCAATATACACCCTCCAAACACACTTCTCATTCAAAATAGTCTAAGCAGAACCGGCCGCTTGCTGAGCACAAGTGGTGCACCACGAATCGTATAGTGCTATTGGCAATTTCGAAGCAAAAGCGCTTACCTTACACGCCTGGAGTATTTGCGAAGCACGCCCACTATTTCGGTGCACAGCTGGCTCGCGCATCGTATGAAGGCCACGCGGATGTGAGAACGAAAAAGAAACGAGAGAAATGCAGAGCTCATAAAGGAAGAAAAAGAAGGGGATGATCAGTATCGCGCAAACGATTCTTCCCTTGACCATTTTAAAATTGGCGCTCAGAGAATCGAAGCCAGTTGTAGCCAACATGACCGCTTCAATAAACATTATTTTTACAAAAACTCATTACATTCAATAAGCTGACGCAAAATATATATATACATACATAAAATTTTAGGTGGAATTGGCATTTGGCTTTTGAAAGCGACAAGATAGAAAATGTTTTGTTTACTTGTGTGTTTCGTAAGTGAGCGGAAATAGCTTCCTGGCGGAAACATCCACGCGCCCTCTCGCTGCGGTAACCCGCCGGACGAAAGCTCGACAGCGGCACGGCAGCAGCGGATGCTGCTATGGGTGACCAATGAATCGTTTTGGTATGGAAATGACGCTCCCTGTTTTCTGTTCTGTCGAAGTGACCCTCTTATGTGGTTGCTGCTAAGCGTCGCACCACGATGACCAAGTGGACGCCCGTACCGGATAAAGCAAAATATGGAGTGGGTAAGGCTGCTGGCTTTAAGCATTCTCTTTCGCCTAAACCGCCCTGACAGTTAGCCTTGGCAGCGTCGACGGCGTCTGCATGTTATTTGACACCCGTGAATGTGCAATTGAGGCACCCAGCCCTTCGGGCGGGTCCCGTGCTCACGCGTACATGTAAATTGCGTTCCAAATGAGTCATCGCAGTCAGTTGTACTTTGATTCGCGCGCGGCAACAGGTAGTTCGGTCTCATCCTTACTATAGTTTACCAAGCGAACATTTTAGACACCATGTCATACTGGCGTAACGCTTGGATTTGCGTACATGAAAAAAGGACTCGGATGAATCAGATGGTGCACCTTGTAGCGTATTGGGTGTAGCCGATGCTCTGCAATGCTTTAATGATGATGCTAGTATCAGTAATCACGCTTGTGTTATTTCATTTCCTTGCATACAGCAATCGCCAACTTCACAGAAGAAGGGGTTCATCGGCTTCGGTTGAACGTCGGTGATTCAGTGTACATCTACGAGGAACTTGAAGGTATTCATAGACATTTTTTTCGACCTATTTCTCGCTGTGCAGTAACGCCTAATTTTAAAATGCATAGCTCCTTAGCATGAATTTGTGTTGTTCACTAATCATCATCTTTTTTTTTTAGAGGTGTGGCGCTTATTCTTTATGTTGCAGATGGTCTCGCCAAAAGTTGCGCATTTTTGTATATGTTATGGCACATATTTGTTTGTTCTCACTGCTACGAGGGATCATCACAAAGCACTAAACTTAGAACCGTTTTCTTACTCTACCCTTTAGACTGGTACTATGGCTGCTGCACCAACAGCAAAACGAAAAAGGGGATATTTCCAAAAGCTTACATTGCTGTCAAGGAGTCCATTATTGACAAGACTGGGTATCTTATTTTACACCTTTAGATTTTATCGCCTGGTTCAAATATAAGATTTTCACGTTTCCTCCTAGCCCCCATGAAGTGGTCATTCCTAAGGAGCCATCCATCATCAAGGAGATTACGGCTGTTCTTCGTGAATGGGGCCCCATCTGGAAACAGCTGTATCTCGTATGTTTCTTTTTCATTATTCTTATACGCAGGCAGTTTAAACCAAAATAATGTCATTGAATATTTTACTCCTACTACACATCAGTCCTCTTAGTAGCAGGTATGCCCTAAAATTTTTGGGCGTGTGCATAATTTGTTTGTTTTTGCTGCAAATCTGGCAGTACACATATTTAAGCTTGCCGCGGTGGTCTAGTGGCTAAGGTACTCGGCTACTGAACCGCAGGTGGTGGGATCGAATCCCGGCTGCGGCGGCTGTATTTCTGATGGAGGCGGAAATGTTGTAGGCCCGTGTGCTCTGATTTGGGTGCACGCTAAAGAACCCCAGGTGGTCGAAATTTCTGGAGCCCTCCACTACGGCGTCTCTCGCAATCATATGCTGGTTTTGGGACGTTAAACCCCACATACAATCATCAATCAAGTACACATATTTCAGGGTTGGCCTTAGTTATTTTAGATTTGTTATTGTCATATTTCTCATAAGTTGTTGCTGCGTGCTTTGTGTTTTTTTATTCCAGACAAATAGAGCAGAGTTCGATTCTGTTCGGAACATGATGTATGAGCTGATGGATTCCAGGAGGAAAATTATGTCTGGAACTCTGCCTGTCGTATGTACTTGTCTTCTAGTTCACTTGCTTATTTGTAGCACTGTTTTGTGTTCTGCCATATTCTTGTGTTATTGTTATTAAGTATAACTTAATGCATAAATATTGTTTACTTGTAAGTATTGGAACTTATGACAGTCAACCAACATACAATATATCCCACAAGTTAAGCAATAGTTTACAGTCCCCCTAATGAGATCTACTGAAAAGCCCACATCCTGTACTAAACGGGTACCGACACCATTTTTCAAAAGTGTGTTCACTCTGCCTGTGTACAGAGATGGCTCTGAGGAAGTGTGAAGCTCAGCAAATGCTAAAATATGTTAGTTTGATATTAAAGTAAATTTTTCTATGGCGCACCTACGGACACCAGCACTAGCTTGACATGAGGCAACCGTACTAATTCTGGCGACGCAGCACTCTGGCTAGTTGTGAAAATGTCAGGTACCAAACACTACAAAATAACCCCTTGTGTGTGAGCAAGATATACGAAATCGCCATTTGTGCAACACCAACAGTGTGGAGCGGCGGTGGAAATGTCACAACATCTTGCACGAGCACGTGACCAGAAGCGCATAATGTGTTGTGAGGTGAGAATAAAGTAGGAACTGGAATTAGCTTTTAAAACATACTGTAATTACTTTTTCAGGGTGTTTCTTGCTTGGCAGTATATTTTCTAGGCTTTTAACAGCTTAGCCTTTCATTTGACACAAGCAAATGACAAATGAAAATTTTCGTGTCAGTACCCCTGCATATAAAGTTCTGTTTGCATACATCAATAGTGGGGAAGTCCTTAGAAAGTTTGGTTCAACTTACTGTAGATAGCAAGAAAAGAAAAAGGCTGTGGTATTTTTAACTGCGTTGCTTTTCATTGTACGCCTAAATTGTCTTGGCACTGAGGAAAACGAAAAGTAATGGAAGCAATGAAAATCGTACAAGAAATGTTTGGTTGTATAGAGAAATAAAGAGAGCACATGAAGCATTATAGGCACGAAACAGTGGATACCCGGGCACATTTCACTCATTGGCAGGTTGCTTGAATATTCCTTACCACTGAAGAACATGTACAAATTTATTGACAGAGTACCACATACATTTGGCCATCAGCATGTATTGTTGTTGTTAGTATCAAACTCTGGTGAATAGTTATTACTGGTCATTAGCCTCATGTAAGCCTATTCTGATCATTGCTCCTATAGCAGTGCCTACAATAGCTGATGCCTGCAATGCATAGCTGCAAATTTTTGTGATAATTGCATTGTGTGCATTGCTATCTGTGCCATTCATTTTATATGCATTGTACAAGTAAATGTGTGTCAAATTCTATTGCTATCAGTCACATCCTATTACGCAAAATAAATTAGTTACGTAATCACCACTGGTGCTTAATGTACCTTTCTTCTCTATTCTGGTAAGGATAATAAGTTCAATATTGTCCAAGGCATCGGCATTCTTTCTAATTCATAGAAAAATAATTGTTGATGTACTTGATTTATAGGTGCAATAGAACCACCAGTTCAAAATTATCTGGAGCTCCCTACTTCCTAAAATCTGAAGAACTACCTTGGGACTCCAGGATTTTATTTTTGACAAATTGGCTCCTTTGTCATGCTATTATGTTTCTGGAGAAATGTGGTAGAAAGCTGTGATTCTGACAGAACTGTTGTTTGCCTGCAGGATGAGCTGAGGGAGCTGAAGCAAAAGGTCACTGCAAAGATTGAAATGGGAATGCGTGAGTTGGCAAAGGCACCTTGTAATATTTTTGTGCTGCTACGTATCTCTTTTGCTATTCCTTTACTAATTCTTTCCACACCACCTGCAGGATCCTTGACCTCGATTTGGTTGTTCGACACAGCAGCGGCAATATTCTCAATCCAGACGTCACTAGCACCATTGATTGTACCGTGCACATGTGGATGCCACGAAAAGGATCAAGCAAATGTCCTCGGTAAAAAAAAAAGACTAAGGGATAACATTAATTTATTTGGATTGCATAGTTATGTGGACTCCTCTGTCACCAGTTCATTGCATTCTGGCCCGCTAGTTTTCATTATGAAGCACCAGTTAAGTTTATTAGTGGTTCTCTTCAGAAAATGTTTGATTTACTATTTCAGGAAATTGTTATGGCATTAATATTGTTGCTTATATTGAACATCATTTTTGCTGTGTTTGTATTTGCCTAATATGCATAGGAAAAGTATGGTTAGTTCCTCTAATGATGGACTCTGTGTAGAACAGGTGAGAAAGCAGAAAGGAATGGCAAATGCAAATGACAGTTCATCACTTCTTTTTTGTTCCTTTATCATTTGCACTATTATTGTTACTCGTGTTTATAGCTAGCAAATATTGTCTTTTGTATTGTCATATATACAGTCATGAACATTGAGAAAATAATTAGGGAGGTTGAATGTGTAGCTCATGGCAGTACCTTGTAGCAAAGTCTACAAGTGCTCCCACAAGTTACTATAATAGTGACCTCATGTATCTCAAACTGGGGCTATACATCATTGCATAAAATATCTGCAAAAACGTATGTATAAAGTCAGTGGAATTTAAGCATTAATTTCATCACAACAATCTCAGGCAATTTGTACCGATGTCATCATTACAACTTGCTGACAAATTGGAAGAGGCGTAGGTGTGCGGAGAGTTCTCTTCAGGGGGGGGGGCAGAGGTTTATCGCAGCACTCCCCCTCCCTCTTAAGTCAAATATGAGACAGACTTTGCCCCCCCCCCCTTCCTGTCTTAAGGGGCATACACATGGGGGACAAATCCTCAGTGATAAAGGCAGAGCTTGTGACGTCAAGTCGCAGAGGGAATCTCCACAGATGTGGAAACCAGTGTTACCAGACTTCTCTGGTGGCTTGTATTGCCCGTTTCACACAGCTGCTGACGACGAAACCATCAGCACGCTGTTGCTGTCTCCTGGTAGGGCTAGCGACCCTACTGCTGGAGCAAGTGCAACAATGTGGCTAAACACCTGTCCAAAATTCCTCTATATCTGCTACCATGGGGGGATAGTTAGTCCTGTCAGTCAAAGGTCTCCACCCTCGGGAGGACGTGCCTACTCGCTAATCTTGACGCCTTTGTCAAGTGATCCTCAATTCTTGCTTAGATTTGAATACCCCTTTAGGTGACTAGGGGGAGCAACCAACCCTGTGTTATCCCCTCCTCCACCGCTGCGCATACCTATGGCAAGAGAGAGTATAATAAGGTTCAGTAAACAAAAGTACTCTTTATTTTTCTCCTGTGTTACTTGCATTTATTGTTTTTATTTCTCTGTGTAACAGAGTTGAATAGAAGAAAACGTGCATGTCACTGTTCTTGCAGTTGAGCAGCTGCCTGCTTTGTTTGTCAACGAACAATGTTAGCATTCTCTACATTAGCCTCAATTTGCAGAATACTCGCTGCTTAAGCAGCTAGGTATAGCTCCTTGTAATGCTTATTTAATAACTTTTTTTTTTATGATCCAAAGTTTTTAACACAATCTTTGAAAACTGGGTTGTGTCAAACAAAAGAAATAAGCCCTCAAAATTTCTTCCGTTATTCAAAAAAAATTTTCAGTGATCATAAGTAAGCACAGGCTGTTGGTCTGTTTACTTTTAATGGTCAAATAAAAATACGTTTTGGTAGTGTGTGTACCATTTGTAGATGCCTCTATCGCTGCTGGAAATTCTATGAACTGAGGCATGTAGCATAGTAGCTAAATGTGGAATCATTATTGGTCATGAAAGTATACTTGGGAGTTTAACCCTTTGAGTGTCATATTTTCAGAAAACAACTTTTCTGGATGGTCAAATTATTTTATTGCGGTTTTTGAATGTACGAAATGTGTAGAGTCTGGGAGAAATTGTAAAAAAAAATTTAGAAACAGTTTCTTTTGTGTCCACATTACTCAGACTACAAAACGTCCAATATTAGTTCAAAGCATGGTATTCCTTGAAACACAGACCTAGACGCACTCCCGTATTGTTGTTTGCACACATAACATACGTCTCCGCTCTTTTTTAACGGGGAGAAGTTGTGTGAGTGAACACACAGCATCTTCTCGGTGTGTGGCTGCCTTGGGCAAACTCTGTAATCAGGGACAATGAGAATACCTTGGGAGTGTCGGTGAAACGAGCTAAAAGCAGCACCAATGAAGATGGAAATCATCTTCTACCGCCACTGCAGGGCAGTTTCAATAAAAAAAAATATATTTTTTGCGCTTCCTTGTAAACCGAACCACGAAAGGGCATTGCCCATGAGTGTTGCTGCAGACCACGCAACACGCTGATACTAGGAATCACTTTTGTTATCTGTGCAATAAGGTATCGCAATGATTTCCAGCATTTCTTGTAAGTCCTAGGAGGTGGTGGCACCTTATAGTAAGCATGTGTCATCATTACTGTGCGAAATTTCAAGTGGAGGTTCGAAAACTTACTTTACAGCAAGAACCACTATCTTACATGTATGGTAAAAACACTTCAGGGGTTAACAAAGTAATATGGCAGTTCTGGATTGATTATAGACTGCATAATGCATGTGTATTTAAAACTTGTAAAGACGTGTTTTGCTACTTCTCAGTTAAAGTATTAAAGACATACTGTATTCTGAATTCCTTACCTCATACTTCACCAAGTCTGTTCTGCCTTGTCTTGTCATGTGATCATTTCTCAAAGTATCTGGCGTCAGTGTTGTTCTCCACATGCCTCAGTTCATATTTACAATTGGTGCCGTCTTAGAGGCGTGTTGTGGGCTAGTAATGCTGCCATGTCACGCGAACTTCATATCCCAGATCCATGAAATATAACGACTTGTCAGCTGGCTGGCTGAAAAAGATAGTGTGGTTCGTTTTTGCATTAGACAGATTGGGAGAGGCATGCTTATGTTTTCCTGTTTTTAAGTGGCAGTTTGGTTATGATATACTGAGTGCCCCAGCTATCTATAGCCAGTTTAAAAATATGCGGACACATGCAATGACGATGCGATCAAATGCATGTGGCTGACTGTTGCCTGGAGTTAGCGGGACTACTGTTTCTGTTACGATTAATTGCTTAATTAGGCCACTTTTATTAACTAACTTTTTAAGCAATGAAAATTTGCCAGAAATTTTAATGAGGAAGATGTTCATCCATCTGAAAAATGCCTGAATAAACAGTTTTGAGGTTTATATTTGGTAATTTTTTATTGTGTTCTACTGACTAAAAATGCCTGTGAAATACAAAAAATACCATGTGACAAGTCCGCTCGCGTGCCAGTGTGTTAATGTTCCTTGTACGAATGACCATAGCATATGTCGGTTGGTGCTGTCTCGACAGGGCTGCAATGACGGTGGCGGCTTTGCGATGAAAACGGTTTGCTATCGGCCACAAAAGTGATAACTGCTCTGACTGCTTACTGCTGTCATGATCTAGTGGGAGGGAAATGTATCGTCCATACACAGAACGTTAGGGAGCACCAGAACCATGGCACCATTGGGTTTGTCATGTGGTTTTTTTTGTATTATGTGGCCATTTGTAGTTAGCAGAAAAACACTAATAATTAATATAAAGTTCAACACTGTTTATTCAGGCATATCGCAAACTGATCTATAACTTTCTCGTTGGAATTTTTTTACCCATCTTGTTTCTTCAAAAGTTAGTCAACTAAAGGGGCCTAATTAAACCAGTAATCAGAACACAAAAAATAGTCTGACTCACTCTATCCAATGGTTAGCAACATGCATTTGGTCACATTGTCGTGTGTGTCTGCATATTTTTAAACTAGCTAAATATAGCTCACGCACCTTGTGTAAGTAGGCAAATAAGAAATTTTATCTTATTTTATCTTATTTGCAAATACTATCTCAGTTTTTGAGACATAGCTGGAGTCAATACAAACGTTCAACACAAAGAAAAAGTACAATTTAACAAAATAAATAAACACGCACTTTTTTTTTTTTTTTCAAGTTGGTCAGCACCAAGTCTGAGCGAGACGCATCAAGCTCATTCCATAAATCCATGATCTCTTGAAAAAAAAAAAAAACTTAGTGCAGTTAAGAATATAACTAAAGGGCATGATATATAGGAGATCAAATTATTGTGAACTTTTGGTAATTAGCCAAGTAATCATCGCAGGTTCGTCTTTCAATTAGTGTCTGATGTAGCCGAACTGTGAAGCGAGAACTGTGCTGTCGAGGCGTTATGATTTGAGAAAAGCCTCCAAAGGAAGAAAAAGGAATGCCTGTATAATAAGCACTTTTCCGTAGGTAGTAGTTTCTAGCTATGCTGTAACCTTGTGAAACCTTTTTTGGGGGATCTTGCATAAGACAGTGCATTGGCTCCAATGATGGGTTTATGTTGAAATGAAGTTGAGAGTCAACCTTTGTGCTTGTCATGTGTGGGTCGTACCAGCCCAGGCAACTTGCTTATCTGGTGCTGACTCATATTTTAATCACGTTTTTTTGTTCCAGACGCAGCTAGACATTGGGTCTCCCAAGGCATCAAGCCATTACTGCCACAATCTGTTTGTTGTGGTGAAAAACTTTGTCTGCCGCATTGGAGACGATGCAGATCTTCTCATGACACTCTACGATGCCAAAGAACAGAAGTTTATTAGGTCTGGTCACTGCACTGCTTGATTTACAAGGATCAAATTCACATTTAATTTCTTTTTCTTAAGTAGCTAGTATTGATGTACTTTTCTTTCAGTGAGAACTACTATGTCCAATGGGCCAATGTGGTCTTATTAAAGACTTAGACCAGCTCAACAACTTAAGAGTGCTTTTCACTGTAAGTTGATCAATGCTTATGCCACTATTTTCTCCATACTTGAGACATGCAGGCTCATTACTTTTCATTTATATTTTTCATTTGTGCCTGTTGTAGGACCTGGGCAGTCGGGACCTGAGTCGTGAACGTGTCAACTTCATTTGTCAAATCATTCGCATTGGTAAGGCACCTCAAGCCAGATATGTTGGGTTCATCCTCCTTTGCATCACTTACTCTTTTAGTGCCATTTTGATGCTTAAATAAATAAAAAAAATCTTTACAAAGGTGCCATGGAGCTTAAGGAAAATGATCACAAAAGGTCGACATTGTATTCCAAAAAGGCATGTGAATCTGAAGGCATGCGACGACCTTTTGGTGTTGCTGGTGAGTGACAGTGCAACCATTCAAGTGTTGCTTTATATGGTGTCTTTAGACAAGAATTTACATATTTCTGCTGTCAGATGGGCTGAGACATGGCATCTGCACAATATTTGCATTAGGCAGTATTCTTCACAACTACTTTACAATGTTTCAGCCATGGACATTACTGACATCATCAGTGGCAAGATTGAGAGTGATGAAGAGAAGCAGCATTTTGTCCCCTACATTCAGTAAGTATCGCAAAAAACAATATCAGTTCTTACATAAAATTTTGTTAAATGTTGCATTTCTATTAGAAAAGAGCTTACTGCAACGGTAATTATGTACATGCCTTCATGAGTGTAGAGGATGGATTGCCATACATGGGCATTGTATGTAATAACCTTGCCTGTAGTTATGCAATATTGATCAAATCACATACTCATTAGTTGCTTGTAAAATTAAGATGACTTCTTGAAAATAATTTAGCATGAGAGTTTTCTTAATTACATATAATTATTGTGGCTAAAGATTCTGCAGAAGTAATAGTACCTTGGAAAGGATTCTACCTGCTTAGAATTTGAGTAATAGGGAGTTTTTGAATAGGGCCCCCATTCATTTTAGGGCCCCAAAAAATACAGCGTCAAGACCACTGCAGATATGCATGAGACTAAATTGGGGTCCGAGTTTTGTGTTCGGCTTTTGGGACGTTAAGTCCACATATAAATCAGTTTTGTGCGAGGGGCGCTATGTCTTGAATTTAGCCGAAGCCCTAGAGCCTGCCCAGAAAGCTTTGTGTCAGACAAACGTGACGGCCCACACTGAAGCGACGGCTCTCGGCATAGACTAGAGTGACCTAGAATAGTGGAGTGTCTAAAGCGTGACAGACACTATTCAAAAGCTCGTAGTTCCTGCTTCACCCAGAGCAAGCACTCGTGAAGAGATTTGGGGCCCGGATGTTGGCGAGGGCTGGTGATCCCTGGGATATTACCTGATGGTCAGACGGTGATCACTTTTGGGTATTCTTCGGTGCTTTTGCAGGTGTGGAGAGCGGGACTTCTTGGACACAGCCATCAAAAAGGCCCTGGCAGCGAAGGAGTAACCCAGAAAGAACACAAAGGGCAGGGCCTCTGGATCTGCCTCAAGTTGCTGCATGGTGACAGCAAGCAAGTGCGGGAAGAGAACCCGCACCTTGTTTCTGGGACCACAGCTGTAGCACGAAAAATGGGCTTCCCTGAAGTCATCCTGCCTGGTGATGTTCTTAACCCTTCTGGTGCCAGCATGAACTTGAAAATTTAATGGTGTATGTAAAAGTGAGAGAAAAGTGACCATAGGCATGGACAGGTTTCTCTTTGGGGGGGGGGGGGTGAAAGTTTTTTGCAGTGCCTCTCTTTATAATATTATAATATGTCAATGTATGAAGCTGACTTTGCACTTCCCCTTTTCATGAGTCGCAGCACCACTGCCCCTCCCCGTGATGTCAATGTACGGGGCTGTCTCTGCCCCCTTCTTTGGCTACTAGGGAGAGCAGCCACCCATGATTACAAGTCATTGTTATTTCTGCAGTAGTGATGAGCTGTTTTAAATGGGCCTTTCAACGCTTCTAAACTTCGGAGCTAATCGTATCAACACGTAGTTGCGCTCCCCAGAACTATTGTGAGGGGAAATGACAGATGGCGCAGGCCTGTGAAGGGATAAATGTAGGTTTAGATGTAATCGCAGCATTGCATCAAAATAGAGATTTCTATTGTGTTTTGTTTACACTCAGTGCGAAAAACTTAAGCTCTGAGACTTATTCAGCTTGAAACTGCAAAGCTGATCGAAGAATGCACTGAATAATGGCACTGGAGGAACGTGCTGGGGATACTCCAGGTGCCCATGTTTGAAGAAAGTGAAGGGTGAAAATTGTAAGAGCATTGATAAATAGATGCCGTCGAAACAGGAAAGATAAGTAAAGCTACAAACATTATTGAAGTATTCGCAAGCTGCCTCGTTTTGTATGTGCGGCTCACTCTTCAAGCACCAAATATTTCTTTACCATTGCAACGGTGTCATTAACACGGAAATAACGGGCAGTATAGTATGCAAGCTTCCCATACGTAAGAATTTTCAGTTCATTTTATTGGGGAGCCCCCATGTCACAAGATGTCACAAGATAATGCCTACCCTCAACACAAAAATTGTGTTGAGGGTAGGCATTTATTTTATTGTATTTTGCATTTTTCAGGTGGATTAACTTTGAACTGCGTGCCTCTATCGCTCTTGTTCTTGTTGCTCTAAGTCGTCAGTCTATGCAACTTGCGAGTAAAACATGTAAAACAAAAGTGTTGGGGGGAGGGGGTCCCTTTAAGCTGCCATATTTAAAATATCATGCAGGTTGTAGTTACGTGCGAGGCTCTTTTCTAGTATTTCAAAAGGTTTGTAGTTGCCCTGGCTATTGCTATGCAGTATGTTGTAAAAGCAAGCGACATGTTATTTCTTAAGTGTTTAAGGCAACTTATCAAGAATGTACGATACAAGGTACAAACACGGGCGCTAACTTTCACTAAATGAATCATTTGTTGAAAGTTAATGCCTGTGTGTATTCCTGCTCGTCTTGTCCTGCCTTAATAAGCTGCGCTTAAGAGGAGATGCCTTTTGAAAAAGACGTTTCGTGAATTTTAGGCTAAGGTAATTAATTCTTTTGTTATATATATATTTATGGGGCTGTTATGTTGATTCAAATATGTAATTAGTTCTGTTGTAAGTTGCACAGTTTTCGTGTTGTGCCATGACTCATGACAATGTGTAAAATATAGTTCATTTTGGACAAACTTTTTATGTCGTTAAACTTTTATGTTTCTGAGCCAATAATGGCTCATATTGTGTCTCATTAACTGTATAGTACAAATAACCATCCAGAAAGTGCCTATAATACATTTTAATCGACAAGAAAAATTGTAATATTAAAATTCTTAGAACCCTCAGCCCATAATGATTGCTTGCTTTAGCGTCGTAATAATTACTATACAGGTGCTATCAAGTTTTCATATGATAAAGTTTTCTATATTATTCATATGTTAAGGAATATTTGGGCAAAATTTCATCCTGATCTGGCCATCAGAAGTACAAAAAAATGTCTCTTTTCAAGAAGTTGCCCAATAATGGATCTTGAAAAAAATAAACTCATTTTAAAGGTATAAGTCGAACTTTATGTGGAAAAGATATGTTTTTTAAAATAAAATGCTTTTTAAAATGATTTCTTTCATCAGGAGAGCTTGGAAATCATTGTTATTTCAAGCTTGTGGCTTTAGTGAACTCCTCATGCAAAGTGCTGTGGCAAGCACCCAGGCGACAATTTCCAGGGAGCTCTAGACAATGAGATCTTTTTAGTTTTTAGGTACCCACCTTGTGATTTTAACCTACCTTGAGTTTAATTACAATCTTCAGTTTTTTTGTTGCAAAAGCAAATAAAAATGAAAAATATGTAATTTTGGAAAAAAACTTGCGTTTTTTTGACTCGCATCTCCCATTAAAATAAGTCGTACCAATGAGGCCAGATGTCAGTCCTTGGCATGTCATATTTTATTGACTTTCGGAGATTCAGTTGGTGACGAACTGCGCTCATGTATCTTGAACAGCTGTATTGTTTTTTAGAGCTCAACTCTTAAAGTGCCCGTTCAATGGTCTCTCGTTATCATAATGTGTAGTTATCAAGCAGACGATTGACACACGGAAGAATGAAAGTACTAAATTTGAACGAAAAATTGTTGCCAGTAGGGGTTTCGAACCTATATGCCCATGTTCAGAGGCCATGTGTCTTATCGGCAGGGCTAAACTCTCATGTCTTCAGAAGGTGAATACTATATCTAAACCATATGATTCGCTGTAATGGTGTGCCCAACACAATTGTAAAAGGCAACACTTTCTATGAAGGCTTTGTCAAAGGATTTTGTGGTGGTGGAATAAAAGCCCTCTAAGACAAGCTGTGAAACCAGCATGGGTCATTGCCCACAGTAGGAAAATTTTGATTATTGTGCTTCATGTGGGATCTGAGTGATAATGCTGAAGCTGAAGTGCAGGGCCAAATCAACGAATACATAAAAATGAAATGCCAAACACTGGTGTGCATTTTCTTGGGGCGTTTGTTCTCCAATCAAAGTGCTACAATTCTTTCTCTCTTTTTTTTTCACTATAAAAGGTTCACATTCAACTGTTTTCTGGAGTGGTTCGTATTGCTTTTGATGTCAACATTTATTGTAGCAGATTCAGCAGAGCAGTCAAGGGTGTGTTCCTTTGCCTTCAGTTATTGAGAAAACCAGGAATTTTTTAATGCATTGTGTTCAACACAGCATCACAGTGCTGGTTTTTTTTTTCATTGTTTCAGAAGCCTTTCAGTCTACTAGGTGCTTGAAAGCATGTAAGGCCTTCAGGTGCAGCACTAACAGTAGTGTAATTACAAGATGTCTTGTTAACGACAAAAATGTATACACTACATAGATTAAATACCTTTCTTGAAATGACTGTGTGTGCCAACAATTGCAACATTGGATGTCAATAGTGTTTTTTTTTATTGGCTGGTTTGTCAAATTTAAAGTCTGTCTTGAAGATCTAAATGAAGATGATTGCTCCTGACAAATCATGCAAGTTGGCAGTTTACCATCAAATCTAGCTACAATGGCTACATGAATGTAAGCTATTCATAAATATTGGATCTCAAGTGCATCATCTGAAATTTATCAAAGTAAAGATTCTGAAGGTTGAGCTTACTGAAGTTTTGACTGCCTTAGCCAAATTCAAGATATGCGGCAGTGTTAGTATGGCACAAGCTCATCGTAAAGTTAGCTCCTTCTGTCTTCAAACAAAGTGTTTCTCCTTGCCTTTTTGCGTTCTATTGTTGATATTCTGGCAGTAATTGTGCATGGGTATGATTTTGCCTTTCGGTAGTGATGCCATTTTTTGGTGTAAGTTTATAAGCTAGCAGTCAAAAGTGACTTTTTCAGGCTCTTAAAGTTGAAAAACTCATCAAAGGAGTTATATACGCCACAGCATAATAAAACTTCTTCATAGTTACTTTCTTTTGTAGCCTTGTTGCATAAAATGCCAGTCTATGTAAACTTTTCTTTCAGTAAGTTAATTCAACAATTTTGGCTGCAGGATGCAACGAAGGTTGAGAAACTTGGCAACACTTTGGCCACCTGTGTATCACAAGTTCACTTTGTTTACATTATTGGAAATAGGGAAATGTCTTTTAACTAAAAACAGGGTCATTAATATTGCTCATCTTTCTTAACTTATTAGTAAGCTTTGCAATAAATGTAGCAAGTGCACATTCAGCATTAAGTCTTGGCTACGTTATATGAACACTCAGGCACTAATGTATGTGAGGGCCCAAAGGAGATTATAATGGACATCTCTGTTTCATCTTCTGTTTTTTTCTACGTGTAGAGAAGAAAGGAATGGATGAAGAGCTTGTTTTTTTGTTAGACACAATCTATGAACCGTTAACGTTACTCGCATACGAGGTCTGTTAGAAAAGTATGTGACCTTTGGTGGAAGAAAAAAAACTGGCATAATTGGAGCGTTGGAAACCTGATTCCCCTCAAAGTAGACCCTTGGGACTCCACACACTTCTCCCAGTGATGCTTCCATTGTTGGAAGAATTCTGAAAAAGCCTCTTTTGGAATGGAGTTTAGATCAGCTGTTGTTACAGCCATAATGTTCTCCTTTTCTGAAATTGCTCTCCTTTCAATGTCCTCTTGAGTTTGGGAAACAGCCAGAAGTCGCAGGGGGCCATATCAGGAGAGTAAGGAGCCTGTTGAACTACAGGAGTCTGGTTTTATTGCTAAAAAAGTCTGAACCAAGTGTGAAGAATGTGCAGAAGCATTGTCGTGATGGATGCGCCAGTTTCCTGTTAACCACAACTCAGGCCTCTTGTGCTGCACAGCATCACGTAGGCGACGAGGACGTCCCTGTAGTACTCTTTGGTGATTGTTTGACCCTGTGGTGCGTACACATGGTGTACCACGCTACGGGAGTCAAAGAAAGAACTCAGCATCACTTTGACATTGCTGCGCACTTGGCGGGCCTGGTCTTGGGGACGTGGAATGCTTCCACTGTGACAACTGGGATTTGGTTTCCGGGTCGTACCCGTACTGTACACTCATGACTCGTCAACGGGATAATAGTGTTCATGAACTTAGGGTCACTGCTTGTGAAATCCAGCATGTTCTGTGCAACTTCAACATGAAGTTTTGCTCCATTGTGAGCAGTTTCAGCACGAATTCACCTCAACTATCTTCATGGCCAAATCTTCGGTCATAATAAAATGTGCAGAGAAAGTGCCGATG